CTCACAGTAGTCACTCACAGTAGTCACTCAGTAGTCACTCACAGTAGTCACTCACAGTAGTCACACACAGTAGTAACTCAGTAGTCACTCACAGTAGTCACTCAGTAGTCACACAGTAGTCACAGTAGTCACTCACAGTAGTCACTCACAGTAGTCACTCAGTAGTCACACAGTAGTCACTCAGTAGTCACACAGTAGTCACTCACAGTAGTCACTCACAGTAGTCACACAGTAGTCACTCAGTAGTCACACAGTAGTCACACACAGTAGTAACTCAGTAGTCACTCACAGTAGTAACTCAGTAGTCACACAGTAGTCACTCACAGTAGTCACACACAGTAGTCACACAGTTGTCACACAGTAGTCACTCACAGTAGTCACTCACAGTAGTCACTTGAGCGTGCTTGGCCTACAGGCACGCGAGTAGCACGCACACACACAGAGACACACACAGAGTAACACACACAGAGTAACACAGAGTAACACACACACATAGTAACACAGAGTAACACACACACAGAGTAACACATACACAGAGTAACACATACACAAAGTAACACACACAGAGACAGAGTAACACACAGAGTAACACACAACAACAACCGCCATTCACCACTAAGTGGCGGTGACGTCACCACGACGCTTGTGCCAGGCTATGTGCACCCTGAGGCCACGTGAAGTGTCGAACGCCCGCTGGCAGGAGGTCACAGACTATCACGCACACACAGAGTAATACACGCACAGATTATCACACACAGAACAGTATCACATACAGACGAACACACATTATCACACACAGACTAACACACAGAGTCTTACACACAGAGTATCACACACAGACTAACACACACAGAGTATCACATACAGACTAACACACACACATTATCACAGTCTCACACACAGAGTCTCACACACAGAGTATCACATACAGACTAACACACACAGAGTATCACACACAGACGAACACACAGAGTATCACATACAGACTAACACACACACATTATCACACAGTCTCACACACAGAGTCTCACACACAGAGTATCACACACAGACTAACACACACAGAGTATCACATACAGACTAACACACACAGAGTATCAACAACAACAACAACCGCCATTCGCCACTAAGTGGCGGTGACGTCACCACGACGCTTGTGCCAGGCTATGTGCACCCTGAGGCCACGTGAAGTGTCGAACGCCCGCTGGCAGGAGGTCACGGGGCAGACCCAGGTGCCACGGGTCGACTGACTGAGATGACTGGCTGATGCACCACCTGTGCCCCCTACTGTGCCAACCTGCTGTGCTTTAGCCACCCGGCGCTCCGCTCGCTGTTGTGAGCGTCGCTCCTCCGCCCTCCGTTGTTGTTGGAGGGCGACTGCCTCCAACTGCCCAGTAGCATCCTTCACGAGCCTCCTCCACAGAGGCCGATCTTGACACCGCTGGTACCAGTCATCGGCAAGTCCACTCAGCTCCACGTCCTCCTGTACCACATCACTCCATCTCTTCTCTAGCCCGTGCCGCGCCCGCTTAGCCCCCTCAATCCGGCCAAACAAAAGCTGTTTCGGCATGCGGTGGCTGGGCATGCGGGCTACATGACCCAGCCATCGCAGCCTTGCCTGCCGGAGGAGCTCACCGATGGGACCCTGCCCAGATCTTTCAAGGATTTGTGAGCTCCTCACACAATCCAGTCTGGTTAAACCCAGGATGGATCGTAGGCAGGTCAGCCTAAATGTTTCTAACCGGCGAAGATGTTCCATTAGGGGGGTCCACGTTTCGCAAGCGTAGAGAAGGGAGGGAATGACCGTGGCCGAGAAGACCTGAAGCTTAGTGCGGAGCGATAGACCAGGTAGCTTCCACACAGCGTTACGCAACCGATGAAAAGATATTGCCGCTCGACTGATTCGGAGTGAGACCTCTGCTGTTAAACTGGAGCCAGTCATAAGCACACTGCCCAGGTATGGGAAACTCTCCACTCTCTCCACAACTGCCCCATCACCGATTGGGAGTTGTGGGGGTGGAGTGTCCGATGGTACAAAATACCCAGGCAGGTGCTTAGTTTTGGTGGGGCTGATGGTAAGGCCCCACCTCTTAGTGGCACGCTCCAGTCTCAGCAGCAGCGTCTCCAACTCCTCCTCTGACTGAGCAGCTATTACCAAGTCATCAGCATACATAACGTGGTTGAGCAATAGGGAGCCATCCCTTGACCGCACCCGGGCATCGATTAGCCTCCCATTATATCTGTACCATATGGAGATTCCCCCGGTACAGCTATTGAAGGCTTCACGAACTACGTGGTCAAAATAGATGTTAAATAATGTGGGAGCCAGAGGACATCCCTGTCGCACCCCAAGGTGTACAGGGAATGGCTCTGACTCCCGGCCACGTAGTTTTACCCGGGCCCGCTCACCATCATGAAGGTCCTTAATGATCGTGAGCAGAGGGTCAGGTACTCCAAAAGCACGAAGAACGACCCAGAGCCCAGGCCTACTGATGGTATCATAGGCCTTGACCAGGTCAATAAAGCAGAGATGTAGGTCTTGTTGGAATTCCCTACACCTCTGCTGTAGCAGACGGACAGAAAATATGGCATCTGTGCAGGACCGCCCTTTCCTGAAACCGCATTGGGGCTCCGCAAGCCTCTCCTCAGCGTGCCTGGCAAGGCGATGCTGAATAATCCTTGCCAGGACCTTTCCCGGCACACTGAGGAGTGAGATGCCCCTGTAGTTGTTACAGTCTGTGCGGTCCCCCTTCTTAAAAAGGGGGACCACCAGGGCATCCTTCCAATCCTGCGGAACCCGTCCAGTGGTCCAGACTGTTGTTATGATGTCATATAGGGCAGTCTGTGCACAAACGCCACCCTCCCTCAGCATTTCGCTTGGGAGATCATCTCTGCCCGCTGCCTTTCCTGGTCTCAGACTCCGGATCGCCTTCAATACTTCCTCAGCAGATGGCACCTCAGCCAGCCACTCACAGGGGGTGACTTCATCCAATATTTGAGGCACCGCAGCCTCAGCAGGGTCATCCTCACTTTGTGCCACGATGTTTTCCTGGCTGTGGGATTTTCCCTCCCCCAGGACCTCACAGAAATGCTCAGCAAATCTGCGAACCTGTTCCTGGGGGTCGGAAATTGGATCACCGTTTTTTCCCCTAATGATGGTAATAGGTGCGGCGCTGCAGGTTACTTTTTTGATGGAGTTAAATAGCGATTTGTGATCACGGGCCACTGAGGCAGACTCCATCTCCTCAGCAACCCGCGACCACCACCCATCCTTGCAGCGCCTCACGGCTCTCCGAACCTCCGAGCGAAGGCTGCGGTAAGCCTCCTCATTCTCTGACGTGGGATTCTGTAGCCGATGACAGTGGGCCTGTCGCTTTTTCTCAACCATCCTGAACAACTCCTCTGTCATCCAGGGTGTCTGGGGAGGTCTGGACCGCGTACCCAAAGCAGCCATTGCAGCTGCATGAGTCACAGTCCTAAACCTCGCCCATTTACCCTCGACATCAGGAGGAGTCGGGGACGATGCCAATCCCAGCCGCAAGCGATGATGAAATTCTCGCTTGCAACTTTCATCAGATAACTGAGACCAGGCCACTTTAGGTTGGAATGGGGTCCTGGGTGTACACCCACCACCGGAGTGGAAGAATGGCAGGCGCATCTTACAGATGACTAGTCGATGGTCAGAGGGCAGATCAGCTCCACGGTAGGTCCTGGTGTCAAGGACATGGGCTCGCATTCGCTGGTCCGTCACTATGTAGTCCAGCAGATGTTCTTGCTTGGACCCGGCATGCATCCATGATGTTGTGTGGATGCGCCGATGCCGGAACAGCGTGTTGGTAATTACAAGCCCATGGGCTGCACAAAAATCTAGCAGCCTCCTACCATTGTTATTGAGCTGATCTGGCCCATGCCCTCCAATCACTCCAGACCAGGTGCCAGTATCATGACCAACTCGGGCATTGAAGTCACCCAACATGATGACTCTATCCCGAGGGGCCACTTTAGCCAGCACCTGTGACAGGAGGTCATAGAAGGCATCTGACTCATCGGCTTTGCCTGCATCCCTCCACGGATGTTCATCTTCGGTGGGGGCATAAGTAACCACGACCACCATTCCTCGCCTCCGGTTGATGGGAAGGCGAGCCCAAAGTAGCCTGGGGCTTACAGCTTCCCACACCTCACCGCCACGCTCCCACGCCCCCTTCATTCTTTTGTTCAAAAGAAGACCCACACCCTGTTGTTTGGCAGTCTGCTGCCCCGAGTAGAGGACTGTCCACCCCTCATGGTGGCAGGAGCCAGAGCCGGTCCACCGGACCTCCTGAATGCCGCATAGATCCAGGCGGTACCGGTCCAGCTCCCGACAGAGGAGTGGCAGCCTCTCCTCTGCAGTGAGCGTTCGAACATTCCACGTGGCCACCCGTAGTGGCTTTTCGTTGTTTCTGGAGTAGCCCCGAGGGTAGGTATTCAATCTCCTGGCTCCGCCAATTGGGGTTTGGCCAGGAGACGTCATAGACGCCTGGCCCCCCGGGGCCTCCGGCACAAGCTTAGTTGTTACATATTTCACTTTAATTCGTGGTTTTGTGGTAATTAATTGAAGGTGGAGGGGTTACCAGCCCCTCGCACCCGTCCAGAGCCCCCGTTTAGCCCCTGTGGTGGACACATATGCCATGAGGGGAGGAGCCAATCAAAATTGGAACTCCCCCCACAGCACTGTCCACGACAGAGTTGCCCGTCCGGCACCGCGAGGAGGTAGGGGGTTGTTTTGCCGGACAGAGTATCACACACAGACGAACACACACAGAGTATCACATACAGACTAACACACATAGAGTATCACATACAGACTAACACACACACATTATCACACAGTCTCACACACAGAGTCTCACACACAGACTAACACACACAGAGTATCACACACAGACGAACACACAGAGTATCACACACAGACGAACACACACAGACGAACACACACAGAGTATCACACACAGACGAACACACAGAGTATCACACACAGACGAACACACAGAGTATCACACACAGACGAACACACAGACGAACACACACAGAGTATCACACACAGACGAACACACACAGAGTATCGCAAACACAGCGACAGACACGAGCGTGGCTCGGCGCAGCTCTGAACGGAGTACAGCCGCAGCAGAGCGCACAGCTCAGCCACCGCGTCCATCATCACAGCCCAACAACAGCAACAACAACAGCAACAACAACCACAACAACCACCAGAACAACAACCACAACAACAACCACCACCACCACTACCACAACAGCGGCGGCGGCGGCCTCAGCCGCTCGGGGTGCGCCCCGGGGGCAGCCCGCGGGCGCCGCGGGACGATGGGGAGCCACTCGGGACGGCCCCGCACGCCCTGGGGGGGTCTCTGCTGCTGCTGCTGCCCCCCAGATGAGTCGGAAGAGAGGGAGCCGCTCATCAGGTGAGCCACGCCGGGCCTGAGTTGGGCTGTGAAGGCCGGGCTGGCTGGAGTGAGTGAACCAGACTGTGTGTGTGTGTACCCAGGTCGACTAAGCCTCAAATGAGTAGGTGGTGCGGTGTGTAGAAACATCGCACACTCGGGAGACAAAGGCGGTCGGGCGTGGTGTCGGCCACCCACCCCCTCGTGTGCCGTTCCGGCCTTCATAGGTGCTCGCTAACAGCACTTGCCCCAACAGTCGGTTCAGGCTATAGGGTGGCCAGCACCACGCACGGCCACCTTTGTCTCCCCCGTGGCGATTTTGACTGCACACCGCCGCACCAGGCACTCATTTGAGGCTGAGTCGGCCTAGGGGAGGCCCAGGACCAGGCGCTAACCATTGCGCCACTGCTTCCAAGGCACACACTCAAATACACACACACAGAACTGCTTCCTGTGTTTAGTTTGTTGTTCTGCCCCCTATTAGCGCGGTTGTCTACGTACGATGCAAAATAAGTTTAGCATAGTGTGCACGCGTGTACGCGGGGCTGCACGCGTGTACGCGGGGCTGCACTCGTGTACGCGGGGCTGCACTCGTGTACGCGGGGCTGCACTCGTGTACGCGGGGCTGCACTCGTGTACGCGGGGCTGCACGCGTGTGGGCCACCTGCAAGTGCTCAAGGCCCGAGTGTGAGTTGAACAATCTGAGCAATGTGACCGCGCCACTTGCACACCTCAAGTCGCCTCCCTCGGGGGGTGGGGGGCTGCGTCCTGCTGGCGTGGGGGACATCAGGGACGGCACGGAGGGTGACTCGTGGTGCTGGGTTTGTAAGATTCCTCAAGCGGCACCCGCTCGATACCACGCAGGGCCAGAGGTCCTTCACTCTCACATCAACGTTTACACTCAACTACAGTAAGTCAAAGTGATATAATCCAGGGGCTTAACTTACCAATCGATATTTTCCGGAACGCTGCTAGGGCAGGCTTGGAGCAATGGCTTAACAGCGTTAGACACTACGCTACAGTACAACGTACAGCTATCCAAAATAGTTCTGTATTATTGTACCCTATATTCCGAAAAGCCTTTGTATGCATCATTATCGTACACTGTATTTCTTCCAGCCAGAGTTTGATGTGGCTCGCGTGCCAAAAACAATTCCCAGAACAAAGTTCAGGACTATTTCCGGCTGACATTAATCCCTTAGTATAACTTACTCATACAGAATAATGACACAGAAAACGTTACATACCGTATACGTATTCCCGTCAATTCTTATGTCCGTTTGCAACTCACAGAGTTACATTTGATTTAAACATGTCTATAACGAAAATGTATTGTTCTTTTTCCTGGCCTGTTTCTCCACCTTTGTGGGGTTTGCTTTTCTGCTCCTCTCTCTCCACTCATTCCTGCCCCAGACTGCCATCTCGACATCCACTCTGCAGTCCTCCAACCTCCCGGCTCACCACTTTTAACCACCTCTGTCTAGGTCTGCCTAGACCGCCTCTGTCTAGGTCTGCCTAGTCCGCCTCTGTCTAGGTCTGCCTAGACCGCCTCTCTCTAGGCCTGCCTAGACCGCCTCTGTCTAGGCCTGCCTAGACCACGTCTGTCTAGGTCTGCCTAGACCACCTCTGTCTAGGTCTGCCTAGACCGACTCTGTCTAGGCCTGGCTAGACCACCTCTGTCTAGGTCTGCCTAGACCGCCTCTGTCTAGGTCTGCCTAGACCGCCTCTGTCTAGGTCTGCCTAGACCGCCTCTGTCTAGGTCTGCCGAGACCACCTCTGTCTAGGCCTGCCTAGACCGCCTCTGTCTAGGTCTGCCTAGACCGCCTCTGTCTAGGCCTGCCTAGACCACCTCTGTCTAGGTCTGCCTAGACCGCCTCTGTCTAGGCCTGCCTAGACCACCTCTGTCTAGGCCTGCCTAGGTCTCCTCTGTCTAGGCCTGCCTAGACCGCCTCTGTCTAGGTCTGCCTAGGTCTCCTCTGTCTAGGCCTGCCTAGACCGCCTCTGTCTAGGTCTGCCTAGACCACCTCTGTCTAGGCCTGCCTAGACCACCTCTGTATAGGTCTGCCTAGACCACCTCTGTCTAGGCCTGCCTAGACCACCTCTGTCTAGGCCTGCCTAGACCGCCTCTGTCTAGGCCTGCCTAGACTGCCTCTGTCTAGGCGTGCCTAGACCGCCTCTGTCTAGATCTGCCTAGACCACCTCTGTCTATGCCTGCCTAGACCACCTCTGTCTAGGCCTGCCTAGACCGCCTCTGTCTAGGTCTGCCTAGACCGCCTCTGTCTAGGCCTGCCTAGACCGCCTCTGTCTAGGTCTGCCTAGACCGCCTCTGTCTAGGTCTGCCTAGACCACCTCTGTCTAGATCTGCCTAGACCGCCTCTGTCTAGGTCTGCCGAGACCACCTTTGTCTAGGTCTGCCTGCACCACCTCTGTCTAGGTCTGCCTAGACCGCCTCTGTCTAGGCCTGCCTAGACCGCCTCTGTCTAGGCCTGCCTAGACCGCCTCTCTCTAGGTCTGGCTAGACCGCCTCTGGCTAGGCCTGCCAAGACCACTTCTGTCTAGGCCTGCCTAGACCGCCTCTGTCTAGGCCTGCCTAGACCGCCTCGGTCTAGGTCTGCCTAGGCCGCCTCTGTCTAGGTCTGCCTAGACCGCCTCGGTCTAGGTCTGCCTAGGCCGCCTCTGTCTAGGTCTGCCTAGACCGCCTCTGTCTAGGCCTGCCTAGACCACCTCTGTCTAGGCCTGCCTAGACCACCTCTGTTTGGGCCTGCCTAGACCGCCTCTGTCTAGACCTGCCTAGACCGCCTCTGTCTAGGCCTGCCTAGACCGCCTCTGTCTAGGCCTGCCTAGACCGCCTCTGTCTAGGCCTGCCGAGACCGCCTCTGTCTAGGCCTGCCGAGACTGCCTCTGTCTAGGTCTGCCTAGACCACCTCTGTCTAGGTCTGCCCAGACCACCTCTGTCTAGGCCTGCCTAGACCACCTCTGTCTAGGTCTGCCTAGACCGTCTCTGTCTAGGCCTGCCTAGACCAGCTCTGTCTAGGCCTGCCTAGGTCTCCTCTGTCTAGGTCTGCCTAGACCGCCTCTGTCTAGGTCTGCCTAGGTCTCCTCTGTCTAGGCCTGCCTAGACCGCCTCTGTCTAGGTCTGCCTAGACCACCTCTGTCTAGGCCTGCCTAAACCACCTCTGTCTAGGCCTGCCTAGACCGCCTCTGTCTAGGTCTGCCTAGACCGCCTCTGTCTAGGCCTGCCTAGACCGCCTCTGTCTAGGTCTGCCTATACCACCTCTGTCTAGGCCTGCCTAGACCACCTCTGTCTAGGCCTGCATAGACCGCCTCTGTCTAGGCCTGCCTAGACCACCTCTGTCTAGGCCTGCCTAGACCGCCTCTTTCTAGGCCTGCCTAGACCGCCTCTGTCTAGGCCTGCCTAGACCGCCTCTGTCTAGGTCTGCTTAGACCGCCTCTGTCTAGGTCTGCCTAGACCGCCTCTGTCTAGGCCTGCCTAGACCACCTCTGTCTAGGCCTGCCTGGGTCTCCTCTGTCTAGGCCTGCCTAGACCACCTCTGTCTAGGCCTGCCTAGGTCTCCTTTGTCAAGGTCTGCCTAGACCGCCTCTGTCTAGGCCTGCCTAGACCGCCTCTGTCTAGGCCTGCCTAGGTCTCCTTTGTCAAGGTCTGCCTAGACCGCCTCTGTCTAGGTCTGCCTACACAGAAGCGGCGTAAGTCTGCCTCTCTCACTCTGCCCTGGTGCTTGTGTTCACCACACATTTTCCGCTGTAGGTTTTCCCACAAACACACTCATTGAGATATAAAACTCAAGCACGCATTTGTGTCGTTAAGCTCTTGCCATTCATAACCTTCATGTAAAAGTACACTTGGCTGCCTGCAAATGCTTTCCGCAACGTTGCACCGTCGACCATGAAACATTTACAAAAAACGGAACCTCTATAGTGGCGACCGTTCCTATGAGCTTCACGCATTCATTCCGACACCGATGTTGGAGACTCAAGTCCACCGGACTCGCTGTTTCTTCTCGTCCATGCTTTGTTGAACCACCACACCACAGGTCACAACACACTCACTTCCCTACTCGCTTGCTCACTTATCCACTCACTCATCCACCCATCCACTCGCTACAGTGCAGGTCACAACACTGCTTGCTTGCTTTGGAATTCCCTCCCATCATCCCTTCATCCGAAGTTCTTCAAACAACCTCGCTCAAATCAAGAAATCTATAAACTCCTATTTACTACACCTTCAATAGGGCTGTTCATTTCTGACCACGTGGCATTTTGCTCCTTTGTGCCTGTGATCAACAACCGTGAAAAGACAAAAAACATTTTCCTATGATTCTCAAAAGGGGCCCCAGAATGATGGGAGCAGATGTGGTCTACTCGGAAGAGCCTCGCTGATCCTCAGGAATAATTTCCAGGAGGGTCCTGCATTCGCGTTTCTGTCAATTGCCTGTTTGTCCAAGCTGACTCGTGGGTACGTTCGTGTGTTTCCATTATGGGAAGCAGTAGTGTAATGGTGAGCGCGCTGCGCTACGAATCCGGTGGCCTAGGTTCGATTCCCACTCACAGCTAACGTGAGTGACGATCACCTGAACTGGTCCTGGGCATACCATAGGTGCTTGCTTACCGCACTTATAGTCTGTTAAGGCTATACGGGGGGTATTTGTCTTTAAATCTTGACTTAAAGTTTTCGTGACTGCAGGAATTCATATTCTTTGGGTCTTTCGGGAACGTCACGTAGATAGGTTAAAAGAAAATAACCAAAAATTATGTTTTTTTATGAGTATTTGTCTTTGTTTACATTTGAGAAATCGTGGCCTTGTGCACATACAGCTGCGTCTATCATCGCAGCAACCCGATTCCTGGCCATGAATAACCCGAGCTAACAGTGGCTGTGCTTGTCAATCGGGGTTCAGTAGAGATCCCGTCAGAGCACACGTGAAAAAGACACATCGCCTTTCTCACAATGCGACACTTTGAAGGAATATCAGATGTAACTCTGTGGTATCTGCTTCTGTGGG